TTACATCGGTATGTTTAAGGATATCTACTCGATATAAAGCAATATTTATTAATACTTATTTTGACTCAAACTCTTAACTAAATGAATATAGAAAAAATATGCCGGTTTAAGAAAGTTTTAGATAGATATTTGCAATCATCCAGAACAAAAAGTTTTATCAAAAATTAAACTTTAAAAGTTTTATAGAAGATTTTAAAAAAATGCAAAAAAAATCATTTCTGACACCCCTAGGCTTAGTACGCCAATATAATTCACCAAAACCATACTGCAGTCCTTCAATTATCATACAGGGAAATTTTCATCTTTCTAAACATCTAAACATCATCTTTCATTTTTCTTTCAGGAAAGCACAGTTAGATCTTGCTGGGAGGGAGATGCCAATTGACAATGGGGGGAGAGAAAAGAGGGAGGGGGGAGGCCCAATCCTTTACTTTTTTTCAGGAAATATAAAATGCAGAATGAAAAGGAGTCAAAAGTAAAAAATAATTAGAATAAAATAATTATTTATGGACAGAATTTGATGAATTTGAGCTAAGTGACTGAACTAACTATTGCCGGTTAAAATTTGACCACCGATTGAAGATCAAGTCGAAGGATTTAAATCGGTGATTCAAATTTAAACCGGCGGTAGGCAGTTCAAATTCGTTAAATTCGGTCTCTGTTAGATTTATGAAAATTGTATATACCTGATTGCGTTGGATGAATACTTGTAACCTCTCCGTGTCCTAGTCTAGACAAGGTTCCTCCAAACCTGGATCTGAGTCCAGTTTGTAAATATTTTCTCCAGCCTAACTCAGGAACTAAATTCCTTCTTATCACTTCCATTTCTTTAATAAGACTAACTGATAACTATACTAAACTGTACAATAGTAGGGTTACTGGAGTTGACCGTAACCCTCCATTTCTTTCAGACGTAGTAGACGAGAGGATTCCAGTTCTAGAAACCCCAGTTTAAAGAAAAAATCCAACAAAGAAAATGAAATTTTAATAAATGTATTCTCTTCACATTTTCTTAAACTAGATTTAAAATCTAAATACTGTGATAACCAGACAACTGTTGAATAGGAAGATGCCATTAAAGCAATACTCAACTGCAATTGATGTTGTTAAAAAGTGAAATGCGATTGTTTACCCTCCACATTGCTTTGTCTCACGTTTATTGGACTCTTTAAAGTCATAACTTGAGTCTAAAAGTAGTTTTCCTATTGCAGAGGTTTCTGGTTATCACTGTACTAAATATATTCATAAAATAAGTACATATACTTTTCAATGATTCTAATTTGATGTTTACACAATATTTTTTTAAATTTAATTTTTTACGTTTTTAACAACTTTTGAAAATCTAATTTAATTCCGACGTCTTTTACTAAAATATTTCAAATATTTTTTTGTCTTTTCCTAAATAAACGATGAAAAAAATGGAATAACCAAATGTGCAACATGAAAACTTCAAATAACAAATCGTAGAACGATTTAAAATATCGAATTGTACAAACGTAGAATAGAATAAAACGTCGAAACTACAAATTGTCAGAAGATATAAAATATCGAATTGTACAAACATAGAATAGAATAACTGCTGAAACTACAAAATTTCAGAAGATATAAAATGTCAAAACTATAAAACGTCGAAACTACAAATTGTCAGAAGATATAAAATATCGAATTGTACAAACATAGAATAGAATAACTGCTGAAACTACAAAATTTCAGAAGATATAAAATGTCAAAACTATAAATTGTCAAATAAAATAAAAGTAACTCATGGATTGAAAATTGTTTTTGAAAAAATGGCATCTTCTTCTTAATTTAAACTTACAGAGACAAAACATGATTTAAAAATCATACATAAACCCATATAAAGATACTGTTTCATATTAGCATAGGCAAACCCACAGTTTACAGAGTTGTTTTCTATTTAATTCTTTACTGTTTATACGTTCAAATTGATGAGAACTGTTTTTTCTGTATGCTATTTTTTTAATGAATTCCGCTAATCTGAAAACTTATTCATGCAGGTCCATCTAATAAAACCGTGCGTTTTACAATTAAATGAATGTCATTTACATGATGCATTCTTATCATTCTTTCATGAAGTCGTCTTATCATTCTTTCATGAGGTCGTCCCCAAAGTTTCATCCTTTATGGGTAACCCTGTATTTGTATATCAATCACAGCAAATCCTCATTCTTGAAAAATATATGTATTGTATAAAATTCGCTGATTTCGCAAAAATTTATGTTAGAAATATCAACGGTTTTGCCATAAGATATAAGGGTTAGACAAGTTGAGCTTATGTCAAAGACTCAATTTCTTTGCCAATTTTTTGTTTTATTTCAACGCCTATGTTCTTTCTAATATGTTTTTGGTTTTATTTTTTATGCTTTATCATCTATATAAAATTTTGTTTATACCACGGATAAATTTATAACCTTATAACCTCAGACCTTTTGTCCGAAACTTAATATTTTTTTTTTTATATCGAAATACTTTATTTTCATCATTATATTATTATTATCAATTATGCGTTATACGGTGTTTATATCGCTTCGCAATATTTTTCTCACTTTTTTGTTTTCGGAAAAAAACTATCAGAATGAAAAAAAATCAATAAAAACATGGAAACCAATATTGTAAATTTTGAGAAGTCCTTGAGGAGGAATTGTTGAGTGTGAACTATTCAAATATATATTATTAAGTTGTTGTTCAGATTACACAATACTGTATTGAATTAATGTTTGGTTGACTGAACACCAAGTTTATGCTTACAACAGTTATTAAAGGCAGTGTAGAGACGGTTTCACAATGATGTCATGACTTGACATTGAAATCTCAGGATATTCTATATATATAATATAATGATATATATTATGTATAGAGTTTTAATACAAAATTAATATAGTCAAATAAGTACAGTGGTATCAATACAATGAAAACGAAATTTTTATTTAAGTTTTGATTGTTTACAAGATTTAAAAGCGTTGTATAAATCAAAATTGAAATCGAAAGTCGTCTTATTTGTATTTATAAAATCGCCTACCACTGTACATGCTCATATCTCTCCATTTAACAACTTTGAACTATTTTATCGTGTGGCTATAGCTATAGCATCAAAATTGTCCTGTAAAAGCATCAAAAACAACAATTGTGGTTCATGAAAATAGGAAATTTAAAAGATTTGCACTTGTATTACTTATGTACCTTTGTGCATATAAAGATTTTTTTGGTTTACCACTAAGGAACGCTGGTCGCTGGTGTATATATATTGAGGTTCTCTTCGGGTTCTTGACGTGTAACTTCTCTAAGGAACGCTGGTCGCTGGTGTATATGTATATCGAGGTTCTTTTAGGGTTCTTGATGTGTAGCTTTTCTAAGGAACGCTGGTTGCTGGTATATGTATATCGAGGTTCTCTTAGGGTTCTTGACGTGTAGCTTTTCTACGGAACGCTGGTCGCTGGTACATGTATATCGAGGTTCTCTTAGGGTTCTTGATGTGTAGCTTTTCTAAGGAACGCTGGTCGCTGGTATATGTATATCGAGGTTCTCTTCGGGTTCTTGATGTGTAGCTTTTCTAAGGTTACTTCATATATATATATTTGTATATATATGAAGTAGTAATCTCTGTTTGGCTGGATGTACGATCATAACTCATAAACCCCTTGACTCAAATTTAAATTGAGAATGTTATTAGCTTGGTTTAAAGTTATCTTTTACATGGGAAATATTAGTGTCCAGGTGAAGCTGGAATTTCCCAGGGAATCATAATATATTCTAATAATGTGTTTTTTATAAAAAATTGAAGCAGTAAAATCATAATTAAAGTTATAGTATAATTATGAGGCATTCACCGCGTTGCATGAGTTTCAAAAAATAAAGTTTAATTATTTTTTATTTAATTTGTGTAAAATGATATCTGTTTCCTCTGATTTATATCCTTGACCTTGTCTTGGCTTGAATGGACAAGGATTGGATTCAAAGGATGGGGGGGGGAATTAAATTTTGGGGGGGGGGGGTTGTTATCTAGAATTCAGGTTTTTATATGCTATAGACAGTTAAAATTTGATTTTTAAATATTGATTTTTGAGATTAAAGTTAAAAACCATACTTTTACTGCCTAGATCCGAAGATTTAAAAAGTCGTCTTCCAAGTTATTTGTACTCTAAGATTAAAATTAGAGTTTCTGAGGTTGGAAAGATGGATTAGAAAAACGTGGAAGAGGGTTAGAAATAAAAATATTCGGTGATTTACTAAATTTAATTTAATTTACTCATAAATGACGACCTTTAGGCGGCTTAGCGAATATTTTAACATACAATATAAAATTTGTCTATTTTTATATAAAACTGCAATTAGAAAAATAAACATAGAAGTCTAAATTAAAATAGATTTTTTATTACAAATTGTTACTACTGTATCATGTTAAGATTTTTCGAAAAAGGTTTTTGGTGGATGTCTTAAGAAAAAGATCTTTTAAATGAAGATCCAGAATGACAGAGGTTTCGACACATTTCTGGAGACACGGAGATGGTTTCTCGGGGCTTAAAGGTCATTCTAAAAATCAGGAGGCTTGGACAACATTTTGCGCGGCCCTGCACCCCCTCCATCATTGTACTTAATAATCTATTTGTTTTATTCCAGTCTCCCTTTGTGAAAACGCGCATTTACTGTTTTCCAATTACCGAGGAATTGTATAATACTACTTCCAGCTTATACAACTCTCAAGGGAGTACCTGAACTCTAGTTTACAATCGTCTACTATAGTCTACTTAGCAAACAATAAACCTTCCATATTGTATAACAACATGAACTGGTTCATAAAAACAGTGGTTCCATTAATATTGTGGAACATTATTATTTTTAGACCCATAAATATAAGTACAAAGAATTACCCAAATAAGTGAACGGTCCCTTTAACAAGTACAAAGAAGGGGTTCAATGGAAAAATATTTGCTTTACAAATCAGCACAGCAAATAAATTTCAGATTATATTCAGGTCGTCTTTATTCCTATAGGTGGTATTCTGGTGTTTTCTCGATGCTATGGATCTGACCTAGAGGAAATCGATCTAAAAAGTATTCGAACTAATTATTGATTAATTTAAAGAAAATAACGAACAGTTTTAATTCCTCCACACGTTTTTACTGATTTAAATCGATTCCCCATTATGACTACGACATTCCTTCCTTTTTCTTTTATCTCGACATGACTAAATGTTACTCATCAGTTTAGATAAACGTCTAACCACCACAGGGGTGGATACAGGATTTAAGTGGGGGGGGGGGAAGATTTTTTTAGGAACAAAAATATTCATAATTAGGAACAAAAAATCGCGCCGCATGCGAAAATTAGTCAAAAAGAGTCAAAATTAATGACTAAAGACTAAAAAACTAGATTTTTAACTTTTCACACATTATAGTTTATTAAGACAGATATTTTTCCTGTTTTGCACTAGGGTTTCTTTCCCTTCAGCATGCTATTGAGAAGCTATTCTGAAAATAGGAACAAAAAATTCCAAATTCAGGGGGGGGGCGAATGTCCACCCGCCCCCCCTGCATCCACCCCTGAACCCCCATTAAATTCCACCCTTCTCTCCCCTAACATAGTCTAACCTATTTCAAGATATATAACAATTTTAGGTCAGGCAATACAATACGGTTACGGATTCGTAAAAGGCGCAACACAAAGGGGGGGGACCTCCCCGCGCCCTCATAACAATTAATTTGTATTATGCGCACATTACTAGAAACAACTAATTTCATTTAATTGTTCTTTCAAATTATCTGCTTGACTAAATTGCCAATTATTATAACCTTGACAATCGAAAGAAAAGATCAATGGTGCTTATTTATTTATGAATCTAAACACAGAATTGAAAAATGGAAATTTCAAGTTTTAATTTATTTTCACAATATTTAAACAAAACAAGTTACAACAGTATAAATGGGGCAGTGATATGAAAAAGTGATGCCATAATACAGTTCACATGATTATAACAATGGTGTCATATTAAAATGTTAATTCAGTTCTAAGACAACTAGAAGAAGTTATAATTTTGTCTTTTTTCTTTTAAGATTTAAAGTAGAATTTCTTACTTATTTTCTATCATTTAACTCATTGTTTCAATGTTTAATTAATTAATAATTCTAAACAGCAGTATACTTCACACAAAACAATGTATACAACAATTATCTTTTTTAAAATTGTTGTCTTGATATAAAAAAGTCTTGGTTTTTACTAAAATTGCATACTTTCAAATTGTGTTTTCTTTATTAATCCATATGTGTATCTACATATGCACATCAATTTTACAGTTATGATTGTTTTCCTTACTGAGGGTTACCTACAAAATATTAGACTTCAGAGACGACTGTACGAATTTTATACTGACTGTTTCCTTATATTTACGGTTTTTGGCAAATGTAAGCTTGTTTCTTTTTTGCCAACTCATGAAATAAGCCAGTACAATACCATAGTAGGCAGCAGACTTGGGATTGTCATATTACATGAGTTTTAAGTCGTCTTTACAGTCTCATCCTTTGTGGGTAACCCTGTATCTAATTGTTCAGTTCATGATTAATAATTGTGTTCAATTCTAACATACATTAATATAAAGAATTAAGTAAATTAAACAAAGGTTGGGATATTTTTGAGATCAGTTCTGAGCTGAAAACTTTAGAATGGTGGATATCGGGATTAAGGCTTAATCCACTCTTTTTCTTAATCTCGAGATTAAATATTGCTTGTTCTCCTCTCATTTTTAATCTCCAGAGCCGAAAACTTTAGAATGGTGAATATCGGGATTAATGCTTAATCCACTCTTTTTCCTAATCTCGAGATTAAATATTGCTTGTTCTCCTCTCATTTTTAATCTCCAGATTAATTATCCGATCAGGATTAAGGATATCTCATTCAAAGTTTTCAGTTCAGATTAATTATCCGATCAGGATTAAGGATATCCCATTCTAAAGTTTTCAGCTCTAGACAAAGTTATTTTGTAAAGCAAAAGTAAAAGTTAAAAACTTTAATCCTAGTTACAGAGCTTGCATATGTTTCCATTTTGTAAACTACATTTTCATTTTTGGTTTCTCTCCACTTGCTTCTCAGGAGGAATATGGAGATGAAGTCTAAATAAAACAAGTAAATATAGAATTAAAGAAAATAGAATTGTGATTATAAAGGGACTGTTACCGTTGAATACTTGAATATGGTGAATGAGATGGTGAGGGGACTGTTACTGGATAACCTGAAGGACCGCTTAAACGAACCTGAATATGGAACATAATTGCAATATAATTTGTTTGTTGATCGTAGTTGGTATTTTTAGTAAACGAAAGGTAGTTGATAGTTTGAAGTTGGTAGGATGCGGGTAGTCGGTAAATATTAGTTAGAAGTGGGTAGTTGGTAGTTGAATTCTTGTAGTTGGAAGATTGTATGATGATAAAAATACTTTGTAGTTGTGAGTGAGTATTTAGTAGTCATTACTTCATAATTAGTTCAGTTAGGAGTTGGTTGTTTTAAAACTCGTAGATGGCAGTTGACAGACAGTATGTAGAAGATGAGGTGGTTGGCAGTTGTTAGGAGGAATATGGTAGTTAGTAGTTGTTAGGAGGAATATTGCAGTTGTTAGTTTGTTAGGAGAAATATGGTAGTTGGTATTTAGTGGTTTGTGGCTGGCGGCTGATAGTTAGAACTTGGTAAAAGATAGTTGATAGTTTTGATGCTATAATTAGCTTTCAATTAGTTAGGAATTTAGATATCGTTGTTGTCGGATAGGAACAAGATTCTCAATAATGAACAGATAGACAACTGGATAACCCTCAAATCAAAATCGATAATGCAGAGAAACTCTTTATTTCCTAAAAAAATAAAATTGATAATAATGCACGAGTTTGTTACAAAGTTTTATAATTTTACAATGAAAAGATTCTTATGATCTAATTAGGGATGAGAAGGTTAAACTGTCGGGGAGTCCTAAGACGTTTTTATATATTTAAACTTCTGAAAAGAATGACAATTAATTGTTAACGAAATTCACTAATTCTTTATATGAAAATATTTTGTTCACAATAATATAAGTGTTTAGACTCCGTTACCGGAGGACAAAGAGAATGGTGCGAAAATTATTTGGTTTGGTGTCTCCGAGAGGAGATTTTGAGTTAAAGACGACATTACATGGATGGGGGGGGGGTCCTGTAGTTAATGGTTGACAATCGTAGTTGTGCAAGATAGATAACACTCTTCCAGACAATTATTAAAGTTATTGCTTACATATTTTAAGAACGTGTCAACTTTTAAGCGTCGCAACTCTTTAGCCTTCGGTTTTACCTCAACAACATACTTTTACTTTTTTGTGGCCCTACACATCTAAGGCGCTTGTTTCTAGCTTTAATTTAGAATGAGTTATTGGTAAAGTTCTGATTGATTTTTGCGTATTTTGGTTCAGAGTACACTTTTTGCGTATTTTGGTTCAGAGTACACTTTTTGCGTATTTTGGTTCAGAGTGCACTTTTTACCTGGAAATGGGTTGGACTAAGTAACGCAGGATTTTGGTCAAATTCTTCCTCTAGGTTTCTAGATCTTAAAATACATTCCAAATATTTTCTTTCAAATAATAAGTTGTTTTCTGATTAAAAAAAATTATAAATACAGTTTTCCGAAATTAAACCGGTTTTGATTAACTATAAAAACAAATTATAAAAAACCCGGTCTAAACTAACCTTCTAGAGTTAAGTTCTGGTTCAAGATCCTCCCAGCTGGCTAAAGGATCAGGAAACTCCTGATCACAAAAATTGTGAAAAATTGCAAGAAATGAATGAGAATATTACAATTCATTTACAGTTGTAATTTACTTTTATAAAACTTGTTTCAGAGCCTGATGGAGATTTGAAACATATTGTTTGTTCAAAATAATCTTTAAATATTCACTGATTTGTGATTTTTAATCTTCCAATCAACACTTTTCAATTTTTAAACTTCTTGATATTTCTTTTTAATGACTAGCTTGGAACCCAGCTTTGACTGGATTTTTTTCTGTATAAGTCAACTGCACTCCAATTAGAATTTTCAAACCAGACTAAGAACATTCCCGTGGATCTCCCATATCAAACTTTAAGGCAAATCGGTCTAGGGGTTCATGAGTTATGATCGGACATCTAAACAAACAAACAAACAAACAAACAAACAAACAATTATTACTTTACATATTATTCACCTTCATCCTTACTCCGAGTGAAGAAAGATCATCTGTGCTTATAGAGGAAGGGGAAGGAAGAATTAGCTCAAGTTCTAAATAATGTTTTTGTTGTTAAATACTTGAAAATTTAAGCTTTCTTTTGATCAGTGAAGTTTTTTTTTAACTTACAGCCAGGCCTCGGAGTGTACAGGTAGGAAAAGATAATAATCTGCTATGAGGCACTTTGGGAAGTATTTCAGTGTTTTTTAATATGGTTTCCATTTAATTAAAGAGAAACTTTTCATACTAGGGCTCTTTAAACCCTCATCTGAAATATAGTTTTCAGAGGTTATCATAGTTTTTATTTGCACCAATGGTAAGATGGCACTTCTCCCATTATCTATTGGCTGTTCACTATTAGTTAAAAATTTTATTTCAAAATGAAACTTTATCTTGAACAATATTGTAATGATGTTGTGATTTTGTTGATCTTTTACGATCAGCGGTTCAAGGGATCTTAAGATCGCTGCGATCATAGTTATCTAGGGGTATCATGCCCCCCCCCCCTCTACACCTTGTACAGACATTAGAATTATAACGGTTTTATTTGTGTTTATGTGATAATTCGAATAAGCCAAACAGAATCTAAATATAACCCAAGCCACGCCACCAACCGTTATTTTGGAAGGCGGGGTGCAGGAGAGTCGGCCCGATAAGCCAGGGGAGCTAGGGTTAAGATCCAGGCTAGGGTGGAGCAGAGGGGGCAGTTGGAAATCAACCCTTACGATGAGAGGTGAAAGAATATCCTGAGCATCCATCTTCCACTGACTATTATTCATTTTCATCGATCGTATAGTATTTTTAGTTTCTAAGTGTTTGTATAATAATAATAATAATAAATTGTAAAACCGTCTCTCTGAATATTTGATAATTGAGTTGTTGCCTTGAATTTTTAGCATATACAAGAATAGATATGTTCAAAACCACTGAAATCTGTCTGTTCCTAATATAAAAATATCATTTTAATTGTTAATTACGAGGGTAGGATAAAAAATTGAACCTGGAAGAAAATCATGGAAGTTCTTTATTTTGATTTTTTTTATCCGACCGTTATAATAAACTAACTAAATGCAATCATTCATATTAGGGACAGATTTCGGTATATATATATATACAGAGCGTCCCATATCATATTAGATTATCTTCAATCTTTAACGCCAAAATAAACCATTATCACTCGAAAACCTTATTATTTTTCGCAAGAAAATTCTTATATTAGACTTATGCTATTTTTCAAGATGAATCATTCTAATTAAATTTTTAGATTAGTCCCGAAAATCGTAATTTAGACCCGTTCTCGGTCTAATATGATGTGGGACACCCTGTATATAAGACATAAGACATAAGATACAATTAGTGTGTATGTAAATCACTCTTCACTTAACCCAAGAATGTAATGCAAGGAAAGTAGTTTTAAGAAGTGTACACATATTTTGTACTGCAGTGTACTGTCTCTGTGCGCTAATGTAAACACAAGACGGATGTCAAAGCCTGACATGGGATCCATCTTTCACATAAAAAATCAATGAAATATTCTGGTCATAGGAAACTATTAAGTGAATTATCAAAATTATCAAAATTTAATGCTTTTAACCTGCTCGGATACCAAACGAACACTGATGCATCTATTCTTGTTTACAAATTCCGCCCAAAGAGAACTGGTTTCAATATGTACGCAGTGTATACACGACCGCAATTAACTTTCCTTGCATTACACGCTTGACTTAACCCCGTTATTTCTTCGGTCAGTGTACTGCAAACTGCACTGCATTATACACCGAAAGCTTTGTTGAGGGTGATATATATATATGTAAAAACCTGTGCTATTAATGTTTCTATTTCTGGAAAACCCAGCATCTGCGCTGTCCTCCACTGTCTCCTGATTTCTCGCTGTCTGTCCATCCTTGCCAAATGTTGACATCGACAGCGGTGACTTATCTCCGTCTGTGAGCCTAATAAGAAAGAATTTAACACATGCCAATTTCTAAAAATTACATTTAAAGTAGCTCGTCATATGTTTTCTTTATTTTGCAAGGGCACAAGTTGTTTAAAAGTATCGCTAATCTAGTAAAATAGAAAAATTATAAGTCTAAAATAATTATTTTTTTTAAAGAACTATAAAAATAGCTCTTAAGGGGACTGTAAGCGTAACTTCTGGTGACCCTCCATACAAAGATGGAAATGCACGATTCGTAAGCCGAGAATATGATAACAATATTTATAATTTAGAAAACAGATTATTTTTAATTGTGGTTTGTCAACAAAAGGGAATTAGCGCATTTCTACGACAGGACAAAATGTATAGGAATGATTAGATTTGGACGCTTTCAAACTAGAAAAAACGACTGTATCTTTCACATTCACGCACCTTTAGTAAAAGTAAATTCAACCTATATGAAGCATAAAGTCTGACCGCGTCAACCTTGTTGCACCGGCTAGTCCTGTCCATAGAGCTAGGTACAGTACAAACTGGGACCGGAAAGGTTGACCCAACTCGGAAATTTAAATGTACTACGGCTGCCCGTGCATTATTGATCAGAAAAAGGTTTCAAGGGTATTGTTGTGAATCGGGCAATGCCATCTTTGCATGTAGGATCACTTGAAATATATAGTCCCTTTGTGATTGTAATTGTAATTACCTGATTATATTAGTTTCCGTAAGAAGAAGAGGAAAACCTTTCTCCTCCCAATTCTGATTTCCGGAGACATCTCCTCCTCTTCTTCTGATCTTTTTCCTCCGACATAAAACCAGAGACAGGAGAACCAGTATCAAACCAAACATTATTCCTCCGATTAAACCTTAATAGTTATCCATCAAATAATGTTGTCCGAGGAGATCAGAATCTAAAAATCAATTAATTAATTTAATTAATTAAATTAATTAATTAAATCCAAACCATGTCCAAACAATATTGAAATTTAAATTGACAAATCCATAAACCTAAAAATAAAAAAAAATAACTTTGCAGTTCCCGCTTTTTTAAAAATCATCAAGTTCAAGATCATAGAATCTCAGAGATTTTCCCTTTAAATCAAACAGACTATAGCTTGGAAACCCAGCTGACCTTGGAAACTAAACTTTCCCTTTAAAAGTCAATCCACTCAACTTAAAATTCTAAACCAAGAAAAGAACATTCCCGTGGTTCTACCGAGTTCCCCAATGCAAATTAGAGGCAAATCAAATTATAATTGAACGTATAAACATACAAACATAGATTGCAGCTTTATATACATACTAGCTTAGAAAGCCAGCTTTACCTAAATAACTAAGATTTTCCTGTAAAAGTGAACCGAATTTAATAACAAAGTTAAGAATATTTCTGTTCCCCAATCAAAAGTTTAGGTAAATCGGTGAAGGGGTTCCGGAGTTGTGATTGAACATATACAAACAAAAACAGACAAATAAACAAAGAGAGATATCACTGATTTATATTTAAAGATGTCATGTATAAAGAGAAGTTTGCATTTATTACGTAATCATGTTTACCTATGATAGATCCAGCGGTCATATTGTTCTTGTATACCTCATCAGAAACAAGGAAATTCAAAAATGTTGTCACTGACGCTATTTCTACAATAAGTGTTATTAAGTTCGGTTGCAGCAAGGTTCTAATGCAAGGAAAGTTATTTCAGATGTGTACACATCTTTTCTGCTGCAGTGTACTGTCTCTGGCAGGTAATATAAACACAAGACGGATGTGGAAGCCTAACATGGGATCCATCTTTCACATAAAAAATCAATGAAATTATTATAAAGATTTATTCACACACAAAGATATAAATACATATATAAACGGTGTAGTTTAAATTTGTTTAAATAATTTTTTTTGAAAATACAGGTTTCCAAAAGAAAAGAGAAAAAAATATGCAAAATTATGCACAAATAGAAAACATTGATTTTTATTAACTACATAACATATTTATCATGAATGCATAAAATGTCTGAGAACCAAGATAGCAAACTTATAAAGTTCTGTTTATCAATTCCCATACTCTCACTATTATAGCTAGTTAAGCACAAAGTACTAGCTGTATCCATCATTGTACTGCTGTAGCTGTAGCACTACTCTTCTCTACACTCTAGGTTCCATTTTTATCAGAATCTGATACACTTGTGGTTCCATTTCTATCAGAAAACCGCTTCCTATAATGGATAAATTCACGGACACGTACTCGCAAGGGCCACACAGTGGGATCCAAGGCTTTCTCAAGATCTTCAGCTGGAACAGAGATTTTAAAGCTAATAACATTTGATGTTTCATTTGGTTTAGACATCTGCACAATATCGCCAACTGTTATCTTAATATCAGCTTCTTCTAAGTCATCCACAATATCCTGTTTGGTGGTACCTTTAGGAATACCATAACAGAAAATATCAGCTGGAGGGGATTTAATCTTTCTAATTTTCTCTTGAGTTCTTGTACCAGAGACAACTGGCTTCCCTACATTTCTTTTTTTGTTTTGAGAGTTTATTCCATCATTTAATCCTCTCTTTACACTGGGAGATCTTTCTCTACCTATTCCTGCTCTTAGGGGGACTGTAAGATTCTTTGGTCTTGCCCCTGTACCAGAGAATATTCTGGTCATAGAAAACTATTATGTGAAATATCAAAATCATCAAAATCTAATGCTTTTAACCTCCTCGGATACTAAACGTTCACTGATGCATCTATTCTTGATTACTTAAATTCCGCCCAGAGAGAACTGGTTTCAATATGTACGCAGAGTATACGCAACTGCAATTATCTTTCCTTGCATTATAACCTTGGGTTGCTGGGACGAAAATACAGATTAGAACTTCATGATTTTTAGTTTTTTCAAAACAATATATTTTCTCTTAGGGTGAAGTAAACAGAAATATGTTTACAGTTGCAGAGAGTCATAAATGTAAGTAAAACAGACAGTACGATATCCGTACAGTCGTCTGTAAAGTTTCATAACTCTGTAGTTCGATAACTTACCTGATGTAGTAGTAGTAGTAGTAGTTGTCGTTGTGGTAGTTGTGGAGGTAGTTGTAGGGGGTGGTAGGTCGATATGGAAGAAAAATTCTGTCTCTCCGACGGAATTAGTGATGTGAATCGACAAACTAACACAATATCAAGCAAACATTAAACAAGTGCAGTTTGGAAATATAAGTTTCAATCTTGTTATTTTAGATTCCACAAAGGAATAGAATCTTTTTTTTTCAAATCCCGATATGTTTTTAACCTAGCTTAGATAGGCTGATATATAAATAATTTAAACCCAGTTTGTGATCCTGAGATAATTATATAATTAAAATGGGATTGCAAACCCGGGATTACAAAACCAGAGATTGTGGCAAATACTCAGTTTCCTTTAAACTAATAGATCTATCAGGATTCATAGTTTTCGTTATCAAAGGTCACGATGTCAGTTTCCAACATAGAGAATAGAATATATAGAGAGGAATTTATTAGAAAAAATTGTAAAACGGCCATTTTGTTGTACTGTTTCCATACTGCAGGTGTACTTCACATATTTATGCTATATAACCTTAAATTTATATTGATATTTTCCTGATATTTAAACAAATTTATATTGATATTTTCCTGATATTTAATCAAATTTATATTGATATTTTCCTGATATTTTCTGTAACATTAGAGACTAAAACTCCAGTGGTAAACTCATAAAGATTTTCATCTTGTATCTCCAGAGGTAGGTACTCAAACTCCAGTCCTAAACCAGACTCCAAGGGATACCTTGCCGTAACAAATAAAATTTCAGTAAAAAAATAGTTTTTTAAAAGTTCGATGATACTGGTCTGGGAAGAAATCATGACCATTAGAGTACTATTGGAAACACCCTTTCATCGGAGAACCCAACTCACAGCCATCTGCTCGGAGACCCCCCACAGTCATCTCATCGGAGACTCCAAGGTTGTCATTTAATATACCCCAAGCTTTTCATCGGAGACCCCAGATTTGTGTTGTTGACCTAAAGGTTATTATCGGAGTCCTCAAACTTTTCTTTGGAGACTCCTGTAAAAGGGGTCTCATGATAGTACTCCAATGATGATGATTTATCCCCAGATTCGGTAGAACCTTGAATATTTAAGATCTCTTGGGTCATTGATATTAATGAAATTAATGAAAACTGATATTTTAATGGATTCACTTACATAGTTTCATTGTTATCCAGGACAAACCACTTAATATCTTCATCCTTCAAAAAATATCAATATCATATAATGATCCCTAATTTTCAATATCACTAGTTATTATATTAATTATCTTTCCATAGATTATCCTTTCGAAAATGTTTATCAATGTAATTCATCATATACTAATATAGGTTGTGCAATGTGTATATAATGTATATCAGGGGCGTACACAGGAATGCGTACACAAGATTCGGTCAAGAGGGGATCAACATATTTTTTTTTCGTTCCAAGGGGGCTCAGCACCCTTTAGAGCCTGAAAACCTCCTGAAAACCTCCTGAAAACCATAGATTTACTGATCCAGTGCTAAGTTCCTGAAGCTCCCCCTGTGTACGCCTCAGCATTCTACATTACAAATATTATTTATTCTACCTGGGGCCAGGGTTTGGCTTGAAAGGTAACAAGGATTTCTAGTGGGTTTCCAGTAAACACAAATCTAAAAAATCGACATAAATATTTTTTCAGACACCTGTTAAGGAATTGAATTGTTCCCACAAACAGAAATTTGCTTATCCCTATATCTTTGCAACATGATGATGTAAACCTTAATATTTTAAACTTATATTATTTCATATCTAACAGACTTCATAGTTTTAAAATATCTAAGGTCTACGACGTTGGTTTGCAAAGATATAGGAATTAGAAAATCAGATCTGAGTTTATGACTAAGCCTCATTTTTTTTTAATATAAATTTGATTCTAATTCTAAATATCTTTTTTATTCCGTTTATTCTATTTTTTTTTAGTTGTGAGAGGGTATTTACACCAAATTCTAAAGTTAGATAGGAAAACCAAGCCTAAATCATGAAAGATAACAGTAAAAATTAACTTCTAGAGTTATATATACAGTATTTGTCATATAAATTCATACAATAAAGACGACAATCTATTTCTACTAAGCTTTCAAATATGCAGAGACATAATAAACATGTAAACAAACAGTTTCTCTTTGTTTAATTGTAAACTTTTAATTTGAAAAAAGGGGTTTAAGCATTATTTGTAAAAAGTCTTTTTCAGTGTATTGATAAAATCGCCGACCACTATAGATTTACCTGTTTACAATGCCAGGATGAAGAGAGGGTTTTAGAATCACTTCAAGAGGTTCAGAGATAATTTCACCGCTAAACAAATAGGAAATTAATTTAAACAGAGTCTAAAACTAAAGAACGAAAAGTTTTGACTTAAAGTTTAAGTTCATGGTTAAATGCCACTTCTAACTTAATTTAAACCCGAACTTTAACCGTGAGGTTAAATATTTAAACCTGTGGTTAAATATTTAACTCGCCGAAATCGACGAGTTAAAATTAAACACATGGTTAAAATCTTGAAATCCCGCAATCCCTATTTGTCTATCATCATGCAGCGATAAGCGGCGCGCATTCAACTAATAACGATATATTTAATAGTAAAACCCTTGATTTAATAAATTTCACTTTTTAAATTAATTAATGTTTGCACGAGAACCCAAAATACAGTTGTAACTGGAAATATGTTTTGTTTTCGGTTACGTAAATATTAAAAAGTTAACTAAAACAGCTGATTAGCGATGGTTATGTAATATTCTCCGTAAATCCTTTTCTCTGATTGGGTGAAATTTTTCCCGGGAAATTCAAATTTAAAATTGAGAAAGTTTAATATTTAAGTAGCTACTCATTATTTTACAGAACTTTTAACCTCGAACTTAAAATTCGCGCATTCTTTAGTTTTAGACTCAGAGTTAAACAATTATGTTGTAGTTAAAGATTTGAAGTTTGACCATAGAATTGAGATAGGGGTTGTTTAAAGTTCAAATTCAAGAAGTATGTCGAACATTTAATTGTTTGTTTTTTGAATAAGCCACCGCCCGGTCCTGTACCCTGATACTATACCACCGTACTGTATTAATAAACACACAAAATTAATTTGTTTCGCATTTTGAGAGATTCAATAATTTTGAGAGAATCAATTTCACCTGTAAAGAAGAATACCATCCTTTTCTTGTTTCCATACACATCTAAACTGTTTTTCAATAATGTATAAAAATTACAACCATTCCTTCCCCCCCCCCCCCCACCTCCCACCTCTAAATCTCTAAAAGAACTTTAATGTCATTCTCACACTTGTCTAAATATCTAAACTTATCGTACACAACAATTAATTGTACAAATGTATCCGCGCCTGGATACATTTATCTACGGACCAATGTTGTATGGATCAGAGGTTAGAGATACTATGCAGACCCCAGTCTTCCCCAAAAGACGACATTTCTTAAGTTCTTATATACCTGAAAACTGCTCCTGTATCTTGTAGATCCACATAATGGGTTCCAAATCCGCTTTCTCCAATCTTGAGTTTGTAAAATTAAACAAATATTTTCACATATTGCAATTTTAATTCAAGATACATATTTCAGAGATATGATGTGTAAAATCTTATGTTTGTGATTATTTAAGAAATATTTTCACACAATAAAATATAATATCTTAATATATCAAAAATATGATGTCACAAAATATTTCTGTAAATAAAGCTTTTAAATCATCTGCTTGAATTTTTAAATGCATAAAGATTTAAAATTTTCTAATCCCTATATCTTTGCCACCTGATGCAGTAAACCTTTGATATTTCAAATTTAGATTATTGATTTAACAATAAAATAATTAATAATAAGGTCTATGACACTGGCTTGCAAATGTTAGGGATAAGAAAATCAGAGTTTGTGGCAAAGACTGAATTCCTTCAGTAAATTCGTCCTTTGAAAAAAAAATATTATATAAAGAATATTTATTTATTTTCCGAGTGTAGCAGTGTTTTCTGTTGTCCCCTAGAATCCAACTGTAGGTTTATCTCTACCTCAGGACTACCAACCTATACAAACATATCAGAAACTTGAGTGGGTCCAAGAATGTAATGCAAGGAAAGTTAATTGCAGTTGCGTATACTCTGCGTACATATTGAAACCAGATCTCTCTGGGCGGAATTTGTAAACAATAATTGATGCATCAGTGTTCGTCTGGTATCCGACGAGGTTAAAATCATTGGATTCTGATAATTTTGATAATTTTGAATATTTCATTGATTTTTTTTTGTGAAAGATGGATCCCATGTAAGGCTTCGACATCAGTCTTGTGTTTACACTTCTGAAATAACTTTCCTTGCATTACATCCTTGCCCTGGAGTTATCTCTGTAATCTGTAATCTTCTTCTGATAATTCCCCTCTTCCCTTCAAACCCCCCTTGAGTGGGTCGAATCATATTTCCAAGCTCATATTTGCCTAAATACCTGAGTAACAGCACAGCCTGCCTCTACAACAGTTCCAACATTAACCAATGGACTTTCTACATCAACAAGATCAATCTAAAAAAAACAATATTCTGTTCTAATTTGTCGTTTTCATAAAGAATTATTTCACTCCATCAGGTTGCAAATATACTGGGAGTTTGTGGTAAAGACTCAATTTTTTAACAATATTTTCTTTGTACCTTAGCAGGAGTTGCAACAAACACACCCATCCATCTCTCATCACTAAATTAAATAATTACGCTTTAACAAAGGAATTCCTATATCTTTCAAACTAATAGTGTAAACCTTTGCTATTTCAAACTTAGATTATTTGATTTAAAATAAGTGATATCAAAGTTCTACTACATTGCAAGCTCTAAGAATTAGATTATTTGATCTCTGATAAGTGATATAAAAGTTCTACTACATTGCAAGCTAATTAGAAGATCATAGTTTGTGACCAAGACTTATTTCCTTTTCTCCACATTTTCTACAATTATTTACATTTACTCAAATATTTATAGTATCTTGAATCATTCCAGTCAGATGAGGGGCGTAAACAGGAATTTTTCCAGGGGTACTTACATTTCAGTCAAAATCAGAGGCGTACACAGGATTTTTTCCGGGAGTACTTACGTTTCTTTCTTTCCATTGGGACCTTAAAATCCCATTTAAACTATATTTGACTGATCCATGGGGGGGGGGGGGGGGGTGAACTCCCAAAGCCCTCCCGTGTATGCTACTGGTTCCAATTAGGGTTTGCAGCGAACAAAACGTTTCGCAAAAAAATGCGAAAAATTTCTTTCGTATTTTGCAAATTTTTTCGCCAATTTTCGCATTTTAACGCAAAAATGAATGAAGTGAAAAATGCCAAAGCGAAGCGAAATTGCGCGCATTTTGCGAATATATTTTCGCGAAAACCATAGGTAAGATTTTTTTTTCTTTTTTGATGAATTTTCGCGAACATTTTTTTTTCGCGAAAAATGCATTTTTATAAATATTCCTAAAGTTTCGTCTGCATAGCGGATATTGCTGATGTGTTTATTGGGACACCTTGTAGGAACTACAAAGGCCGGGTTAGGTCCCAAACCTTAAAGATCTGAGAAAAAAAGTATTCACTATCAAATGACATCCCAGCCTACGTACATGCTGTACTGTAAACATTCTACGGATCGTACGGTGGAAAAAATGATTTACAAATTAAATTAGGAAAATATTGATGCAGCAACAAAATATTAGAATAAATTTTGCTGCATGATATTGTTATAACCAATCCAGACATATCCTCAAGTATTCCAGAATTTTCAGTCTTATTTCTTCTGACATTTATTTATCGATTCCAATAAATATTTAGGTTTGGAGGACACGCAACAAGTACTAGGGTTCAACAGAGTTTTCGACGATAAATATTTATATTAAGTTTTCATAGAATATAATTATAAATGCTTTACTTATACATAAACCATCAGATACAACCGACTCTGTCTATTATTCAAAATTACCCTAGTGCCATAAACGATAACCAACGTAGTAATCGGTTTAATTTTTATACATTGTTTAACGAGGATGTCAACGTAATTTTTTTTACATTGTTTAACGAGGATGTCAACGTAATTTGTATACATTGTTTAACGAGGATGTCAACGTAATTTTTATACATTGTTTAACGAGGATGTCAACGTAATTTTTATACATTGTTTAACGAGGATGTCAACGTAATTTTAATACATTGTTTAACGAAAATGTCACCGTAATTTTTTCAAACTAAAATTTTTAATTACGAGGAAAGATTTTTGAGTAAACTTACACAAGCTTACTCTCCTCTGTTTTATTCTTTAGATTTGTGTGAGCTAGGTGACATTTCCACTGTCCAGCAAACCCTGGTTGTACAGCCTGTACATGAATTCCACAGCGTGTACTCGTCTTCTTCCAGTTAAATCCCCAGACTGTAGTTTCAGGTCCCTGTATCAGAAATTATTACATTTACAAAGTATCAAAATTGGATACAAAATTGGAAACAAAAATTGGATTAAAATTGTCTAAAATTGGATTACAAAATAAGTTTAGGTGTTAGTTAACATCATTATCGCTCAACAATACTAAGCTTTGAATTTAAAAAATTGAATTTAATTACATTTTTCAGAAAGTTTTGAAATAAGGAAAATAAACATATTGTTCGGTGAGATTCGTTTCATGTAAAACTTTTATTTGATTTCACATTGAAGGCGGGGATTTATTTAATAAATAAATAATTAATCGCAGAAAAAATAAACTATTTTTTCATCTTATTTTTTAAGATATGTTTTGCTTTTGAAAATTGCCCGGGTTTCAAGTTTTGATAAAAAACAGTTTAATGATTTTATTAATGAAAAATACCTTAACAGTGGTAGAGTACTCTACCCCTTCATGTTCAAATAAACACCACTGATAGGTTGAAGAACTTTCACAAAATAAATCTAGCGGCTCACCAACCCGAACCGTCTGCATTGGCTCACTGTGGCTCACTGAACCGTGGAGTTTAGAAGATTAATTTAAACCAAAAAAATTGCATTAGCAAAGAATTGAATCTTTGCCACAAATTCTGCTTTTATAATCACTATATTTTTGCAACCCAATGTCAGAGACCTAAGATATTTCAAACTTGAAACTATAAGTTATGTGAGGTCAAACTTTATTTTAGTCTAAAATATCAAAGGTTTACATCATCAGGTTGCAAAGATAAAGGGATTAATTTTAATTTAACTTTTCTTGAGGTTTCGAAAATTCAAATGAAAATCTTCTATTCTTTCCTATTTGAACAGTTTCTACATAACTGAGATAGAACTGAAGAATAAGTAATATTACAGCAGTCCTTACTCTGGGCTTAGAACTAGCCCCCATTGTTGTTCAATAAGAGACGAACTCAGTTTGAAAATATAAATGCTTGCTTTTTCACTTTAAAAAACTGGTTTCCGGTATATGTACTGGAATTGTAGCCGTATGAGGTAGATTTTACAACAGATATTTTGAGGTTAAAGATAGCTTTCAAGCTTATCTCCTGAAATATTTGATTCATCACATTTTAAAATCACTTCTGAAAAAATATTATGTGCAAACCGATTAAATTTGAAATAAAAAATGTTTCCAATAAACCCTAAACAAAAACTTAGCTTTTCCAATTTTGAAAAGACTTTGAAAAATATATTTGTTCATATTTTTATCACATGGAAAGTAAGATTGTAACTGATTCAAATTCAAATGAGAATTACTTTACACACTTTACACACACTAGCCTATAATACACTATACAATGCACTTGTTATCTTTATTTGCTTTTGAAAGAGAGGGGAGGGGGTGTATTTTATGAATGTTTCTTTGCATACAAATATTTTATGAAAGAAATCATGATGATAAAACGAGAGCAGATTTAGTTGGTAAAAGCCGCATGTGAATGTGTATTTGTATTATAAACAATGTTGAAGAGAAAATGTCTCTTTCAGATTTCTAAAAAATAACAAGCCTGCAACACATTTAAGACTTCTTTAAAAAATTATTTTAGATTTATAAAACTTAAAACCATTTTATGCATCCGTTGGGAAAAACTAGTCTTGTTCTGCGTTTAATTACCTGAACGCTTCCATTTAATTGGCAAATTAAAGGGTATGTAAACGTAATATTAAGTGCCCCTTTATTTATAGAGTGTCATGTTCTATTCACAACGGTACCGTGTAAAACTTTGTCTGATCAAGTATCTTATTTAATAACAAATACAAAAAAAGACAAATTAAGATTTAAAAATATCTTTAGTTCACATAGTTTGCCATATACATACACTGTATACAATATACATAGAAGTAGTAGATAAGAATTGACAAGAACTGACGAGTTTATCAGGAGTTTCAGAAACATCTAGGATAAATAACTTATTTGATATGTTAATCTGTTTAAATGTAAAACATCTCTTTAATGTATATTCCTGTTATATGATTATCACGAGATTGGATCCATACATCGATTACAAAAGTAGATAAAATCTAATTATTCTACAATCGTTCATGAAAACATTTTGTACATTTTTGTCTTGAAACTCTGCTACATTACACTATATAAAATAAACTGTACGCGTATAAATTATAAGTGACCATCCCTGGAAAGATGCAGGCTTTTCTGATCAAGTATGAATTAGAAATTATTGTTTATAATTTTGAAAACTGATTATTTTCAAGTTGATATATGTCCGCCCATGGTTTCTGAAACCAAGGGTGGTACTAAACCCAGTTGACGGATTGATTCTCCGTCCATGGTATCGGAGACCGGACCCGAGGATTCTCAAAACCGTGATCCAAGGTTTCTAACTCCGGTAACAGCGAAACTCTCGTCAGTTTTAGGGGCAAGAGGAGGAGCAAATGTATATCGGGGAGGGGGGGGGGATGGGGATTTTGTTTCGAGGGAAAGAGGCGTTTGTGTAGAGGGATTATCCGATTACTAAACTCAATAAAAAGATGGGGGAAATTATTTCTAACCCGCAGCAGGAATCCAGAGAATAGAAACACAATTCAAAATCAACAGTTAGACAACCTGACATCCGCATTCAAAGATATGCAGATTAACAGACATCCAGACTAATAGACATCCAGACTAATATACATCGAGACTAATATACATCCAGACTAATAGACATCCAGATCACTTAGACCCGGACTGCTATGAAAAGTTGCAGCAATTTTCAAGACTATGTCGACTTTGAAATGTTGCAACGCCTTGGCATTTTATAAACCTTACTTTGACAATATTCTCAACGATTTAGCTTGCAAGCTTAGAATAACTGTGAGAATCTGATAAATAACAGAATTGGAGTTTAACAGATGATAAACCTTTATGTATTCTGAGATCAGAACTTTGGTGTTATTAATCTCAGGATCAAGTATTGATCTCCATCTTATACAGACCTACGGACTAATTCAATCCATCTTTGATATTCCTTGGTGGTCCCACCCTGCAGAGATAACTAAATTAAACGGATTAAGTAAGTATTTATTTCTCAAACGAATTGAGTTTTTGGCATAAACTCTGCTTTTTTATCCCTATATTTTGGTAACCCAATGTTGTAGACCTTTGATATTTCAAACTTTGAATTCAAGTAATCTAAGTTTGAAATATCAAAGGTTTACACCATCAGGTTGCAAAGATATATGGATGAAAAAGTGTGAGTTTGTGTCAAAAACTAAGTTTCTTTAAAGTTATCACAGTGGAAGTAGATATATATGGAGATCAAGTGTTGTAAATTTGTTACATTATACATGAAAGTTTTTACTGATCTGTTGTTATAAAACATCAATTTTATTCTTTTAAAGATGAATTTAAAATCTCTTCCCTATGCATAATTCATAAATCTCAAGATTCATTTTAACCATCTCTCCCTCTCAAAGCAAACACTCATTCTTCATTCCTAATCCCCCCTTCCGGCGTATTTTCTACCAAATCCCACCCTCCTCCAGTTCTATTTTTATAAGCAAATGCACGTGTGTTGATGCCCCTGGAGATAAAAGTAAGGATTAATTTTTATTGATTGTCAGGAAACTCTATGGGATAGGATAGGATAGGTCGGGATATCCCCCTGTAAATTTAATCTGAAATCCCTCTTTTCTCTCCATTCCTATTTTTTTTTATCTTCTCAAAGACCTTTGAAATTTATAATTTGCAGTATTTGATCCTACAGAATTCATTGCTTGAAATATCTAAGTTTTGCGACTTTGAGTTGCAACATTATAGTGATTAGAAAATCAAAGTTTGTGGCAAAGACTCAATTTTGTTTAAAGATTGTCTGTATGGGAGACTAGTTTCGGCTCTTCCTGTTATAAATAAACTGTAATAAATTGTTGTAACTATGAATATCCATTCTTGTTCTCCTTTCTCTCTGTCCATCTCTGTTCTATTCTTCCCTTTTCTTGTTTCCTCTTCTTCTTCTTCTTCTTCTTCCTCTCCCTTTTTCAACCCTCTTCTCTTTCATTTTTCTCCTACCAGCTCTTCCCTCTTCTTCTTCCATCCTCTTTTTCTTCCCTCTACTGTTTCACTCTTCTCCTTCCCTCTTCTCTTTCCCTCATCTTCTTCCCTCTTCTTCTTCTCTCTTTTTCTTCCCTCTTCTATTCTTTCTATCCGAGTTCAGCTCCCCTGTATAAAAAAACATAGTACATTCTTTTTTCCTTTCCTTATTGTTATATCTACCCCTGTACCCTCAGGGGATTAATAATTGTATCCCTGTCCACAAATATAACCCTTTTCTGGAAATTAACTTCGATTACTCACCCCCTTCGGCCCCCTCCCCTTCCACTGCAGAACTTTCGTACATATCACGGTACAAAACAAGTCCCTTTCGTATATATCACGGTACAAAACAATTCCCTTTCGTATATATCACGGTACAAAACAAGTCCCTTTCGTATATATCACGGTACAAAACAATTCCCTTTCGTATATATCACGGTACAAAACAATTCCCTTTCGTATATATCACGGTACAAAACAAGTCCCTTTCGTATATATCATATCACAGTACAAAACAAGTCCCTTTCGTAGTCCATCAGTCATCTGAAAAATAAAAAAAATGTTTTTTTTACATTTAATGCATGCTTAAAAAATCTAGATGAGATTTGAGGTATATGTATATTTATATTGGTTCGTAACCTTACAATCTATTCCCAAATCAAAATTTTAGTGAAATCGGCTGCTCAGGTTTCTGAGTTAATACATGATATAAAAACAGACAGGCAAAAAGAAAAAAGTACTTTTGGATATCCAATCATAACTCATAAACCCCTTAACCAATTTGCCTCAAACCTTTCAAGGGGACCTCAGCCCTAACCTAACCTAACCTAATGCAGCAGAACCACGGGAATGTTCTTATCCTGGTTTTAGGTTCTAATGATTCTCCATGCAAAGGAGGTTCAAATTTAAAATTCCTTAGCTAGCTTAGAATTGTAAATCCCCGTTGTTCAATCTGAGTTCTTAAATCAAAATTTTAGGTAAATCAGATCATATCAGATCAGATCAGATCAGATCAGATCAGATCAGATCAGATCAGATCAGATCATATCAGATCAGATCAGATCAGATCAGATCAGATCAGATCAGATCAGATCAGATCAGATCAGATCAGATCAGATCAGAGCATGAGTTATGATCGGACATAGAAACAAATAAAGTAGATAAACAGAGATTGCTATATTTTATATTTATAAAAATATCTACAATGGGTCATCAGTCGTCATCTTCATATCATTAAATATTTCTTTCGTATATATCACGGTACAAAACAAGTCCCTTTCGTACATATCACGGTACAAAACAAGTCCCTTTCGTACATATCACGGTACAAAATCCTACCTCCCAAACTATAGCTTTCGTATCCCCCCTGCCAAGATCAAGTATAATCTAATTGAACCCTCTCAATAATTACTTATTGATTAATTTATATTCTAATTATTTTTGTGCGCAAACTGGATTTATTATATTCTATAATGCATAAAAAGCTTTTTGGACTTTCAGTAGAATGCGTTTTTAACACCGTAAAGGAAAGCTGTATGGGTCATTTCAAATAACCCTCATATAAGAACAAATTGCAATGCCAGATTTACAATGGCTTAAGAGCTTAGTCTTAAGCCTATCTATAATTGTGTTTTCTCCACAAAAGTGACTTATCCATTTCTACTGTAGGAAAACATGTGTAGGAATTATCTGAATTAAACACGTTTAAACCATAGTATTAATCAGATAAAGGTTTTTAGGGTACCGTTGTGAATCGGGCATTTCCTCTTTGCATGGAGGATCACTCAACATTACCTTGCATTACCTGGTATGTATAGTTTTCCTTAATTTTATTAAAATATTAATATTCTTTAAATGACGTCTGTCTGGTCTTTTATGACTAACCAGACATACAAACATCCTTCCATATACAATATTCATTATAAACATATTTCATGCTGGGTTCAATATATTTCTTCTATTATACTGGGCCAAAGGGAATATAGATATTAACCCTAAAAAGTTTTTTTTTGGGGGGGGGGAGAAGTCTGGACAACCTTGTAAAT